AAAGAGTTAACTCTTTCCTGACTGAGTCCAGCACAAACCACAACACTTAAATTTGAACATAGATTATAAATCTAGTTTCAAATTATTTGGCATGTTTTTTCATTTACTTTATAAAAGGAAAAAGATTTAAATGTTATTAGCTTGAAAGTACTTAATTTGCTCTTTTTCTAACTGGCTTTCATTTGATTTGGTTGCCTGTTCCTTTTCAGTAGGCTGGTATCGTCACTGCTATTAGTGCTTAGCAAGCACCAGCTACATGAAGACACAAATGCAAACACTGCTTTTGTGTCAGGCCTTCAGAAAATTTTTCTTTTTTTCTGTATCTTTTCAAGACAAAAGTTATAGAGAAATTTAATGATAATTTACAACTCATTAAAATCTGAAAATTTTACTCTGGACAAAAAATAATTTGGCAAGATGTGATCAGCATATTTCAACAGAGAAATAGTTGGGATATAGCAAATGAAAACAAGTATTTTAGATTTTATCTGTAAAAACATTTTGTTCTTACAGGAACAACTAGGCTATAAACTGCATTATACTGAGATTTTAAAAATATGAGTGGAATTTTGTTTGGAAAGTCAGTTATGTTAAGGGTTTCTTTTGGTTAATGAACACATAAACACGTCAGTTTTTCAGCCAGTCTTTTTTCCTCCGATTCTGTTACCTATGCCACTGTGTCCTAAAAATTAATCTTTCCCATACCTACAGTAAAAATTGATAGTATGATCTGCATGATTTACTTGGAAGGGAAAGTCTGATTTCTATCAAGTTGCGGATTTTTCTTAATAGTTGTAAACTGTTAGCAGTTTTTCCTCTGTTGTCTCTCAACATAATAGAGAGGCCAGTGCTGAAACTACCTGTAAAATGAGCAGTAATGTATTATCTCACTGTAATGTATTATCTCAGTGTTGATATCTGTCTTTCTGCAAAGAAGCCATTTCCCTTAACTTCTTTTTTAAATTATTTTTTAAACTGTGTGGAAGCACAAAGGGACAGGTGTAGAGCATTCATTGCAGCATGTATTTGGAAGTACAAAGAATGTCCCACGCCGCACATGTATCTGCCATATTTTCAACACTGACATGTCCAAATAGGTGTTCTGCAGCCATCCAGGAGCACAGTAGCTCTCATCTAGGATGAGGAATTGATGGTTCACAATTGAATCAGGTGCATTTACAAATCATCATGAAAAATCGGAAACTTACTCAGTGAGAAGCCAAATATTGTGACAGGGGAATTGCTTTTCTAGCACTATTCTCTTTTGCTTAACACTTTAATATGTTTACCCTTGCAGTTAATGCTGACTTTAAAGCACTTTTTGAAGCAGTTCCTTGTGTTTAATCTTTGAAAACAATTTTGATAGAACTGACTAACATCTGGGAATGTTTATGTCAGATACAGTGCTTTTTCTGCAAAGGGACTGTTACAAGTGCAGCTTGCCTTAAGGAGAAGCACTTTATCCCTGGAAATTTTTATGCTACCCAACTTCTCTCATGGGTGTTGGCCTGTTCTATAAACAATTTATGTTATAAATTAAGATGAACTAACAGTTATAGACACAGGTATTGCATTTCTCACTGTGGATAACTCAGTGCATTCCTATGCATTAGTCCAAGGTAATTGTAAATAATCCCTTCTTTCTTTCCATTCACCAAATGGCCCTTTGATCAAGCAGCGTGTGTTCATAAAAGCTCCTTTTCCCATATTCTGGTAGTAGAAGGGAGAAAAGAAATATGACATTCTCTTCAGACCACATCACAGAGTAATTCAGAGTGAATATAATCTGCATTCCTCACCAACATTCACAAAAAATGTACTGTTTGTTCTTCCAGGAACTATCCTTTTGATATAGTGACGCTTTTAAACTTGGTGCTGTTCAAGGCATCTGACACCAACAGAGAGATTTATGAAATTTCCATGCAACTTATGCAGGCATGTATCAGCTACTTTTTCTTAAAATCAACCAAATGCATGTGTCCTCCTATCTTTTTTGTGACTTCTAAAACACTGTTTATTTGCTTTTTAGTTTTGTTTTGAAAATAGTTATTTTTTTCTCAGCTGTAAATACTTTGGGAAATATTTATATAAAAAATCAATGGAAAAATATGATTTCTGGTGTCTTTTCAAATTTGGACAGTATATTCCAATGCATATAGATCATACCTCTATAGCTAAACTTGAAGTGGTGACATTTCCTGAATTAATGATTTTTTTATTGTCTCATTACATGATATTTTTTCTCTTTCATAGATCCTTGAATCAAAACTTTTTGTTTATTCGAAAAAGGTAGCTGAGCAAAGACCAGGCAGTATCTTGTATGGTACACATGGGCCATTACCACCTCTTTACAGTGTCTCACTTGCCCTTCTTTCATATGAACTCGCAAGGATGTATCCTGAACTGACCCTTCCACTTTTTTCAGGTACCTATATCTGTTTGACTTACATCTACTTCACATTTCTGTACAAATAGTAGAACACTAAGACGTTTCCACCAATCGTGAACAGCAATTCGGTTAATAAATTTAGCTTGACCTGCTTTTATTCTGGTTCAGGTCAAACCACGTTTAAGAATGCAGTGTACATTTCCTAGAGGTACTTGAACAAAGTACAGAATAGCTATTTAAAAACCTTGGTTGGGGATTCTGTGCCGCTTGTGTCATGTTATGGTAACTTTGAAGTTACAAGGCCCTGGATAAGTTAAAGTGACATTGGCAAACTCTACTGTACTGGGTTCTCATGTTAGGCATAGTGATTCTTCTTTTACATACATTCATATAGCTGATACATGTGAGGATAGTATTCTTTGGTTTATATAAACATAACTTTATCTTTGGGAAGATTGATTGCATGTGTCCAGTTTCACCAATGATTCAGATCACTCTGAATGGGTGATCTCTGCCTTCTGTTATTTGCCACATCTGCAAGTCATTAGTATCTTTGCAGTATTATCAAAAATCATTTTGTTCGAGTAACTGAGAAAAACGTTAAAGAATCAGACTTGCTGGAGCACCATTCAGAATATGCCTACTCCGAGACCATTCCTGGGAACATTGATGTTTTGAGACCTATTTGTCTGGTTTAATCCATCTAATGTGTTGCTCTGGTTTTTAAACAACAGAATGCAATGTCTGTAATCATGGGAATTCTTACTGGCTGTTAAAAACCCTTTCTGTTGTTTTTACTCAGTCTGTAGGGGCTGGAGGAAGGGTAAAGGAACAATACATCATCCATTTCTTAGTGCCCAAGATGCGATATAAATAACTTAGTCTGTTGGCTCATTTATCTTTAAAAAAAGCAAATGCGGTTTGTTATTACTGTTACCATCTATTCATGTTGCTGTAGTGGCCATGTTGTTCAAAAGAACTCACATACACAGTCCGAATCAGAGCCCTCCACTATATATCTTGAATCATAAAGAGAGAGGACAGTGTATGTCTTGAAGTTTTTTGAAACCAAGCAGTGAGGAAGGAAAGGAAATGTCAAGTGTACTGATTTTTCAGAAGAATTCTGGTAAAGAGAGCTAATGTGGTTCACCTTGGCAGGAAGCCTCTCACTGTATTTCTTATCCCAGATTTTCCAAATCCTTACAGTGCCAATTTTTTTTTTATAAACTATATAAAGTTCTGTATACAGCATTCCTGGACTGGCAGCCGACTACAAATTTTATAGGCCTCCCCACAGGAAATAAGACTCCTAATAATATATGCAAGGTGTTTTTGTAAATTCAGTCTAATATGTGCCTTAAGATTTAAACTATTGCTTAGAAACGCGGAGGCTGATGGGGCACTCATAATTCTGCAGAACACTTTTCCGTGTTTATTGTAATTCTCCAAAATGTCTTGAAATTCTAGAATAACAGCCAGTAACTGAATTATCCTTTTTCATCTTCACTGATGTTCATTTCACATGATACCTAATATGGCACAGTAACAGGGACCACTTTCTGTTTCTAGGCCCAGACTACGTTAGTTCTTTCAGGGAGAAGACCTGACCAATTGCTTGCTATTATAGACCATTAAATTAATGCTTCTCTGCCAGAAGCTGAAGTACATGCTTTTGTATGCTTGTGGTTTGCAAGGTAAAAACCATCAGGCAGTCTAAAACATGTCAGAAATCTGATTTAATAATTTATTTAAGTTTTCCTTCATAAACTGACTTCTTGTCCTTTTCAATTTTTAATGTTTTAGAGGTAAGCCAGCGATTTCCAACAACACATCCGAACGGAAGACAGATCATGCTTACTTATCTGCTGCCATGGCTTCATAATATTGAACTTGTAGACAACAGACTCCTCCTCCCTGGTTCAAGCCCTACCACTCCAGAAGATGAACTGAAGGACAAGGATGGGGAAATGACAGTCACAAGTGGACTAAAAGGCAATGGCTGGGGCTCTCCTGAGGCCACTTCACTGGTTCTCAATAATCTCATGTATATGACAGCCAAGGTAAAAGAGCAAAACAAACGAACAAAACCTCAAAAAAACCCAACCTGTAAAACAATTTCTGAAGTATTAATTCTTACATTTTTTTAAGCAAAAGGTACTTGGGTTTCTTCCCTATGATACCAGAAACTTTACACTGGAACAGTCTGTACTAATCAGTACAGACTGAACAGCCTTCTTTTTTTTGAAGAAGTTTGTTCAGTTTTTGTTTTAAAGACAATGCAGAAACTGCCTTATTTCAAAATATAAATGAAGAAAAGTGTTCTACCCTTAGTAGTGAGAGCATTAATGGTTAGTTATAGAGGAACTGAGCTCAGTTCTCTCCTGGATCACCTCCCAGGTTAATGTCTAAGGCAGTAGATGAAAGTTTAGTTGGGAGAATAGGCACCTGGAATTTGACCTACTGAAACTCTTGTACTTTCTAGGAAATAAACATACCTTGAGAGAGAGAAAAGAAAAAAAATGGGTATAAATTTATAAGGTGCTAGTTAAACTGTTTTGTAATAAAGAAGGTATTTTGCATCCCAGGTCCTGATAAAGGACCAGGCATTCCTTTTTTCCAATTACTTTTTCTTGTAAAATGCCTAAGCATTTGGTGGAGAAGGTACTGGGAATTCTTCTTTCCCTTCTCTTTGCTGACTTGCAGGCTGCTATGCGAGTGTGCCATGCCTGCTCTGGCACTGCTTTTGCCAGAATTAGCACACGTGTCTAAACTGCTAATACATAAACTCCAGGATGTGAGGCCTAGTACCAGTGTCGTAGGGGGCAGAGGGGTTCACGTTTCCGATCCTCCTCAGGGCTAAACCTCTCTCAAGCAGAATGTCAGTATCCATGCTACATAGTTGATTTTGGATCTTGCCTCATGTTGAGGCCTTGTGAGTAAAACTTTATTGTTATTTTGTGTGCATTTTGTCATGTGAGCATGTCTGAAGTAATGCGGAGCTGTGCTTCAGCCCACCAGAATGCTTTTTTCATGCTTGTTGCATATCCAAGGCATGATACTGGCTCATGAATTACATGATGGTACAGAGTCTCTAGGATATTGTTAGAGGAGTTTTATGGTTTGAAAACACATGCGATGCAGTTCTCACCTTTACTGCCTATCAGCTCCAGTCCTTGGAGTAAGTTGCTTCCAACACTACACAAAGCTTTTTGTTCCAGATTGAGCAAGTATGCTTTCTTCAAACCGTACTGATTGCATAGCTTTGGAGGCTGTACGTGTGATAAAGGGACTGGCACCTGCGAGCACCTGTGTAGATAACCGTAGGCGTAGATGCCAGTCTCAGTGTTGGTGTAGCTAGTATGTATTAAATAATTTTCAGTAGCATAGCATGACCTGGATATTGCCACTCCTCCCAGCAGAATGTCAGTCTGTGCAGTGGTTAGAACAGTCTTCTCAAAGTGGGAGACAGAGATTTTAGAGAGGAAACAACAATTTTCAAGTCCCATAGCCTGGATGCATGCACTAACCATTTAAATGACTGGACAAAAGGGAATCATTTCTATAGCTGTGTCTTGCAAAGAGAGCAAAAGCTGTTTGTTTCCAAAGTGAAAATGAAGGGCTGGCTAATGGTTAGTTATGCTGGATTTACTCGGGAGTGAAGTGCCGAATAGTTCACTACTGTGAGGGCTGGAGCATTTAGGTACAGACATGCAGAAATAGAACTTCAGTTGCTCAGACAACTGAAACCCACTAAACTGCTTGATTTTAGGATCACCTTTTGAAATACATTCCTCAAAGACTTTTGTTATTTGTGATCTAAGCCCTGCTGAGGATCTACACGTAAATACATTTAAATACAATTTATGCTCTGAAGTCTGTCAGGTAGCTTTTGAAAATATTATTTTGTCCCTTTTTACAGCATTTTACTGTTGGTTTTGCATGAGAAAATGCTCTAAAGAGCATGCCTTCATTTGGAGGTCTTCGTATTTCAAAAAATGTATGTCTATGATCCTTTGCAGTACGGAGATGAAATTCCTGGACCAGAGATGGAAAATGTCTGGAATGCTTTGGCCAACAATGAAAAATGGAGTAACAACCTTAGGATAACACTGCAGTTTCTCATTAGTTTGTGTGGTGTTAGCAGTGATACCATCCTTTTATCTTATGTAAGTGTTTGCACTTTATTTTATTTACTATTGGTTGCACAGGTTTTAATCAAGAAAACAGCTATCACCAGCAGAAAATTAATTTCTGTTTTACAAATGAGAAGTACTAACATTTTCTGTAGCAGACCTTACAAAATTAAATCGTGTGAATAAATGAGACAAGAAACTGAAATTCAAGAAAGTAATTGAGTAGTGGGAATATCAGTGTCCAGCAGTGGAACACACCTCATTTCAAGGAAGAAGTGGGCTCCTCTCAAGCAAAGAATAACTGGGACTGGCCATAAATTGCCAGAACATGTGAGAAAAAATACTAGAAATATTTTTTTCATGTCAGAGTTCCATAAAAATATGCTATATATAAATTTAAACTCTTATTAAAAAGACAGAATGGCTGCTCAGAGGTTAAATAACATGAAAAATGAAGGCAAAAAGACTAAATGCGTATGATTTTTCTAAGTAATCAATTAGTTTACAAAACTAAGTTTTCAAAGTTTTTTAAACAACGGATGTTACATCATGGATGGGACATAACATGCTGTGATCTTAATAGTTTGTTGTATGAATTTAGGTGTTCCTTTAGAAAAGTGTGTAGTTTTAAGGAAGTGCTACGCTCTTTTCATTTGGCAGACTAAGGCTTTCTGTGGGATATCTCAAGAGACACAAGATAGCTAACTTTTATAAGCTCCTTCCCATACCAACTTTTGCCTTTGCATGGCTGTCATGAATAAAATAACTATTCCTGCAGTGTGCAAGTCAAACTGTGCAGGATATTGTTATTATTCAAGATAAAATAAAATCAGGGCTGTCTGAGAAAAGCAAGACAATCCCATTCCCATGTTCCTCATGCCTCAGTTGCTGGGTGAAACAGAATCTAAATTTAGTAAATTTTCCAGCACAGTTAAAATATGCTGGTTTATTAGTCTCTTTCTATTGATTTTGCTGAAGAAAAATTTGAAATTACTATCAATGGGATTAAACTTATCTAAAAAGCCTCATACACATATTTCATTTACAGTTGCTGAAATAATACTCTGCTTAAAGTGTGTATGATGATTGCTGTGCGTAACAGAATAAAGGAAATACAGAAAAATACTGGAAAAATGTTCAAGATGCTGTTACTGAACCACCAATCCTGTTGGTTTCCTTTTATTTGTAGGGTTTACTGTTCTGTATTCTTGAATCAGTGCATATATATGAAAAGTCAGTGTTGCCTAGCTAATCAGAAGAGATCAGCAAAGATTCTATATGAGATTATACTCATATAAACCTTAAGCAACCCCACCTGTAAATCTTTTTTTTTTTGCAAGCAGGGTTGCTCAAGGCTTATATGAGAAAACAACAGCTCAAGGCTTATATGAGAAAACAACAAAGGGGTTGATCCCAAATACCTTGAGGGTAATGAAGATCTTTTCATCAGTTGTGACAGAGTGGCAGAGGCTCTCCATTCAGTGTTGACCGTGCTTTGAGCAGGAGGTTAGATGAGTAACTTGCCAGGCTTTTTCCAACCTGACGGATCCTGCAGTCCATGACAGACTTGGAGGCCACCTTTGGGCCTTATCCCATCAAGAGGAGCCATGGTGGCAGAGAACAAGTGGAAATCGCAGAGACAAGAGACAGCAAATTGAGGGATGATATATTTCTGACAGATTACAAAGGGAATAGGAGCAGTTTTCTAAGAGGAAGGAGCAGTCCTGTGCTGAGTATGTCTTACTCCTAATTCTGTATCCTGATTGGAGATGCCTGATTGCCCTGTCACCCTTGCCTAAGTGCCCCTCACATACCTCATCCCCCATCCAGATACTTGCCAACCCAGAGCTTTCAACACATCCTTTTTCCAAAGGTGTTGCCATCCCACAGCTGTGAGCAGCCTACCTCAAACCCCCTTCCTACCTCTAGTACTTCTTCTTTTCTTCAAATTCTTTCCAAATCTCCTTGCCTTGAAGCCTTGGCTCTCACAGTCCTGCGCTCCTCCCGGACAATACAGTCCTCTGACTCCACAAGGAGAGCAGTCTTGTGGGGGCGTCTCCAGCTTCATCTGCCCAGCATCTCCTGTTTTGCCCATGGGACTTCGCTGTTCTCCCTCCCAGGCTGCCAGTGGCTGTTAGCAAGACATTCAGGTCTTCATTGGTGGTGGCAGCTGGCAAGGTTCCTGTGTTTTCTGCCACCCTGTTAGTCTGTGTTTTACAGTGTTGAGTTAAAAGTCTGATTCTTGGATTTTGCAAAATCTGAAAAAGTTTTTCAACTTCTGTGGGATGCCTGACTGTGTTATGAGTCACCCCTGAGCTGATAGCTTTGTCTGGAGCAGGAAAACACACCGGGCTTATCACACTCATCTGCTCAGTGTTTTGATAATGTCCTGGAGTTTACAGATAAGAAATTATACCTAACTGCTAATTACACAAGGCTGCTGATACCATAAACATGTATCTTCAGTTATCATGTAAATAATACATACCCATTAGCAAATAAAGATAATTCAGACAGTTTATCAGCACTGTTCCAGCTCACCTGGGCTGGAAAGACCAAGATTGCCAGTTTACCCATTTCCTTTGGGAGCCCTCTGTGCCCCAAGGCAGTCACCAGCTGCTTCATGCCTTCAGCCATCTGTTCTGCCTCTGTGGCTCCAAGCCAAAAGCACGCCTGACTTACATTTTCTCAATTTTTTTCAAGCAGCTAAATTCATTGCTTTGCCTTTTATACTTCTGTTTCCTTTTAGCATTTTTCCCCACTGCAAATTGCTGAGCTGTCCTTTCTTTCACATATGTACAGAAAGTTTTATTAGAATATTTACAGTTCAGAAACTTTTTTGTAGGGAACATGACCCCTTCTGGAGTGAGAGAAGCTGGAAGTGGCTCTGTGAGCCCAAGTAGAAGTGAGCATTGGAAGCATGGTGGATTTGTATCTGGAAAGTACCTGGAAATTTTTAGCACAGCAGAGTAAAAGAGTCTTTGAATGTCTGCTTTTCCTCTACTTTAAGCAACAGCAAAAAATGGAAAGAGAAGCAGTCAGGAAGTTATTTTAATGGAAGTACTTAAGAATATAAGAACAGCAATACTTGGTGAGGCCAACAGGCAGTTTGGTCCAGTACGTTAGCTCTACAAACATTAATTTAGGGACATCTAAACAAGAAGGCCAGCACAGAGGGATGCTTCCGCATATGGTCTCCCAGCTCCAGCAGTTTATGAATCAAATGAAAGAGAAGCAGTCAGGAAGTTATTTTAATGGAAGTACTTAAGAATATAAGAACAGCAATACTTGGTGAGGCCAACAGGCAGTTTGGTCCAGTACGTTAGCTCTACAAACATTAATTTAGGGACATCTAAACAAGAAGGCCAGCACAGAGGGATGCTTCCGCATATGGTCTCCCAGCTCCAGCAGTTTATGAATCAAATGTTTTTGAGCCAGAGAGAGTCTCTGCGTTTAATAGCCATCAAGTGGTTTTTTCCTCCAGAATTCAGTCTAATTTGATCTCAGTGCCTCAATTGGCCTCATTGCCGCAGTGCATATGGTGTTTGAGTATCATAGAATCATGGAATGGTTTGGGTTGGAAGGCACCTTAAAGACCATCTAGTTCCAACCCCCCTGCCATGGGCAGGGACACCTTCCACTAGACCAGGTTGCTCAAAGCCTCATCCAGCCTGGCCTTGGACACAAGTTTGTTTAACAGAATTTCTATAAATGATATTCTTGTCAGAGTTTTCAGGTTGGGATGCATGAATTCTGTGTACATAATTGCTCTGCCTTTCTTCCATGTGCTATTACTTTGATTACAGCTCCTCAGAGCCTGTCTTATCTTCTGTGGCCACAGCTACCTCTTTCACATCAACCCTATCTGGATATAAAGGCATGAAGTTTTGGGGGGATCTAGATTTCTAGATGAGAACATTGCTCCATTCAAAAGATTAAGATTCTTCTTCAGTGGAAATCATATGCTCGAACTACAAATCCCTGAGACAGATTTAGGATTAATGCTGATATCCTTAAGTGATAGGTACAAAAATTGTGTGGGTTTTGTGTATTTTTATGTTGTGTAGTTAAATATCTAAACAGTTCATTTGTGGGTAGCAAGCACAAACTTTGGGGTAATGAGATCACAGATTCACTCGGATGGGGAAATGATATCACAGTGAACAGTTTTATTTCTGTATGAACAAGATGGATGCAGTGTCTGTCCAAGAGTAACACCTTGCATCCTGGATCTTTTCAGTATTGCCATGTAACATGTGTTCATTTCTTTGGAAATTCACTTTGGACAGAGTTTAATACCTGTTGTTTTCTTCTCTAGATAAAAAAGGTTGCAATATATCTATGCCGCAATAACACTATTCAGACAATGGAAGAGCTCCTTTTCGAGCTGCAGCAAACCGACCCAGTGAACCCAATAGTCCAGCATTGCGATAATCCTCCATTTTACCGTTTTGCTGCCAGTAACAAAGCCTCAGCTGCAGCTTCTGGTATGACCTAAATACACTTTTCAGTTATGCTCTCCTGCTCTTTCCAGTCTTCGTCTCTCTGAAAAAACGATCTCTTAGTTTTGCACCAATTCAGTTCTGTGCATATATAATGTACAAGTTTCAGGGCCTTGTTACACGTCTGAATTAGAGTTCCTTTTTGATTCCCAATGTTGTATAGGCTCTGTAAACATATGCTTAACCCCTTCTAATATATTAATAGGATATTGCCAATGTTTGGTGCTGTTCAGAATTCTTAAGAGGTGGTTTTTGTACCACTAGTTTCTCAGAACAAGAAATCATCACCAATGCTGTGATTATAGGAGATCACACCAAAGCAGCAGAGTTTCCTGAGGACAGAGAGCCTCAGCTGTGTCTCAGTTCTGTTTTCAAAGGCAAAAGGCTATTTCTAAACTGAAGTAGTCAAAGATACGTAAGAAACACACGCTCCAAATTCAACCTTGTCAAAGTTTTGCCAGATTCTTGAACAACAACAGGTTATGTCAGCTGAGAATGAGCTTAATTCAAGGAGTGGAAGAGCATTGTTATGTTAATGTACCCCTCAAAGCATGTAAATAGTACAGCGTTCAGCCGCGCAAGCAGCTCCTGTCTTGCAGAGGTAACAGTGTTCACTCATGTGCGCAGGATGATCATGTTGGCTGTGGCTACTAAAGAAATTAAAGTTACAGGCTTTTATTGCTTTACAGATACTGTCTGCTGCATGTAACAAGTGTTCTTACTGACATCTCCTATACAGGAACCACCTCTAGCAGTAACACTGTTGTAGCTGGCCAAGATAGTTTTCCTGATGCAGAGGAGAACAGGATGGTGAAAGAGACTGATGAAAGGTTTGTGGTTGTTTTTTTCCTCCAAAATGTATGCATTTTCCTATGCTGGGCAAAGTTCTGCATTGTTTTGTGAGGAACTCTGATGCTCAGACTGATCCTAAGAGGCGTTATCCCAGTAAGACCATTTTAAATTGAGTGTATGTAAAAGTGGGGAAAAAAACCCACAACTATTAATATGATTCTTGTTCCTGAGCATCATTTAATAATACATTGTAGAGGAACGTGTGTTAAACCTACATTGAATAAATAGTACTAAGTAGATCATGGTTTTGTAGGAATTACCCACAAAGGAGAAAGAAAATCAAGTGTGTACCAAATAATGACTATTAAAGTCTTTATTAAAAATCAGGTTTGATTACACCTTTTGATTTAATGGACAGGGAGTAAAATTTAGTATGCAGGTGTGTATCCATGATTGCAAGGACACCTCCTTGGTCTGGATAAAGTGTCTTACAGAGTAAAGCTATACAAAAGATCTTGCTCATAAATCATACATTCAATTTAGTCTTTTACTGCTTACGGTACGTACTGATAAAGGATGAATAAATAAATGCAAAGCTTAAGGGCCCTCAGTTCTGCGAGCACAGACAGATATGTATTTCTTCTCTCACTGGAACACTGTTATTTTTTAAGAGAACTTTGAATGCCTTCTAATAGCATTAAGCAGTAAGTATATTAGTGTTACTTTAGTCTGTTGTTCCTGATAGTACCATAGAGTCGCTAGCATCACTTCAGTAGTTCAGCCCACCTTCCACACGGTCAAGGCTTAGAGAGACAGTTATGTGAGCAAACGTCCCTGTCTTAGAACCTTTTGAGTCACTCACCTTCTACTTATTATAAATATGAGTAGCATTTTGTCAGGTTAGTTGTGTCTATCTCCTAATTTAGTTGTAAGTAAAATACTGCACTCGTCTTAGTACTAAGTGAGGTTTCAAACTGATAGTAAAGAGGATTTGACTCAAAATGGTGGTTTTCAGCATATGCACTAGTAATGTACCTAAAAGGAAGGTAAAAATATTTTCCCTCTGGATTAGTTTATTATTATTATTTACATATATACTTATAACTATATAGTTTT